TCGGGCTATGTTGAAGAAGAGGATGCCGAGTGTGTGGACGAGCCGATCGAGTACGATGAACCACATGCGCTCGATGAGGGGACCATGGGCGAGAATTTCTCGATCAATTACCTGGGTCCACCGACGTCCGACAATGACAGAACGGCGGACGTCGAGGAAGTCAAGCTAGCCGAGGTTGAAGAGGTGATCAAAGGCGACGTAGGAACATTGGTTGAGTTCGAAGAAGTCAAGACCGAAGGAGACCAGGTAATCAATGTTGCAAGCGAGATCATGGTCGAAGAGGTGTTCGAAGTCGAGATCTTGGCCATAGTCGATGAGGATCGTGAGTGGGATGTGTGCGTGATCGAAGAGGACGTTCCCGAGTTTTGGATGGTCGAGGATGAGTCCTTGAGGACAAGGATATTCTCAAAGGGGGTGGGAATGATGCGTAAGTGGGTTTTGATCCCCGAAGACAAGAAGGGCCAAGAGCCAAGAGGACTCAAGGAGGCTGAAAATAGGGCCAAAACGACGCATGCATGGCCTAAGAGACGGGTGCGAGCTCGTATGCGAGGCGAATGGACGAGCGCGATCGGAGGTGGCGAAGAGACGGGGAGCACGGGTTGCGCCAAGGCAGCGCACGAGTACAAGGGAACCGGCAGTGGTGCGGTGCTCGCGGGCAGTAGCGGGTGGGCGTACGCGGGCGAGAAAGACGGTGAGAGCAGCAGGGGCACGAAGCGCGCAAAGACACGCGAGTGCGCGACAGGCGCGCGAGGCCTAACCCGTGTAGGCGTAGGCGAAGCGGACAGCGCGAGCAGCGCTGGCAGAAGAGGCATGCGCGGGACTCGCGCAGGTGGCGGGGACGCGCGGCAGCTGGGCGGCAGTGGCGATGAGCGCGCGACAGCGCGCGAATACGGAACAAGTGCGGGCGACCCAATCCTAACGGGCGTAGGAGTGCTGGGCGCGGAAGTGCATGCGCAGGCGGGACGCGGCAACGAGGAGGCGCGCGCGACAGCGCGCGCGTATGAGGACCGCGTGCAAGACGCCGAGTCCGCCGAGGACTAGGACTCGTGAACGCGCGCGACGCGTGAGACGGGCCGAAGGAATTGGGGCGGCCGAAGGGTTTTATTTTTAGGGACATTCTAGATTTGCTTGGTGTGCAAGCCAAGCATTAGTATTTTGGTAGCTTTAGGATTTTATTGCTTTCTAGACTTAGGATTTCTATTCTTGCAATATTTAGGAGATCTATTAGATTTAGGCTTAGATTTATTTTGCAACTATAAATACCCCATGTACCTCATCATATTTTACAAGTTGAATGAAGTATTGAATTGGTGAGACAATTTTGAGGGGGAACTTTATGTTCTTAACGTGTGATAAAGAAGGCCATTAGTGCGTCTTTACATGCAGTGTCGGAGAGAAGGCCAATAGTGCGTCTTGAAGTCACGGTATCTAGAAGAAGGCCCTGAGTGCGTCTGCTAGATACACCTATCGGGGATAAACGAAGGCCGCAGCGCGTCGTTTATTCGCAACCCAGTATAGACAAAAGATCGATCCGTCATCACATAGGACAGGCGTGCATGCACGCGCAAGGGATGGGCGGCGCGGACTGAACGAGCACAATAGCGGACGCGTGCGACACGGACAAGCCGAGAGGCGGCGCGAATGACGTGCGATACATTGAAGGCGGCCAAGAGTTTTATTTGGGGCGCAATACTTAAGATTCTAGAATTGCTTGGTGTGCAAGCCAAGCATTAGTATTTTGGTAGTAGTAGGATTTTATTTCCATGTTGCTTTTATTTATTAGTAGTAGAAGATGCTAGGAGATTTACTAGCATTAAAATTTATTTTATTGCATAGATTAGGAGATCTAGATATATTAGGCTTAGATTTATTTTGCAACTATAAATACCCCGTGTACTCATAATAATTGAAGGTCTTGAATGTCTTCAATTGAGTATTGAATTGGTGAGCCAATTGAGAGGGGAACTTATGCTCTTACGTGTGTTTAAACAAGGCCGTTAGTGCGTGTTTACATACACTGTCGGAGAGAAGGCCATTAGAGCGTCTTGAAGTCACGGTGTCTAGGAGAAGGCCGGAGTGCGTCTGTTAGATACATCTATCGTGGATAAATGAAGGCCCTGAGTGCACGTTTATTCACAACCCACGGTATAGATAAAAACACGGTCCGTCATCATTGGTGCTTTCATTGAGAGGTGCTGATCGTGTTCTTATCTATCTATCTTTTTTTTTCCCTTTTTCGGTTTTGTCTTCTGCTGAGGGGACCGTATTTTTGTTCGAAATTTTCAATATTCTTGTTCTAATTTTTCAATTATTTTTGAAAGTTTTTTAAAAAAAAAGTGTTATCTTGTTAGTCCTTGTTTGATTTTTGTTCGATTATTACCTTTCGTTGAGGGGCCGAATTTCTCTTTGTTTTTTGAATTTTTTGTTGGGTTCGAATTATTTTTGAATTTATAGAGTCTTAAAAAAAACAAAAGATTCATGATGTCAAACCGCGAAAGGATCCAAGCGTTGAAAGATAACATGAAGATCATTGGTGATGGTCAACATGCCACCAACGAGAACTTGGGAAGGATCGAGCTTATGGTCCATGATCTGGCCGGGCAGCTTACACGCATGAACACGCGGCCACGAAGGGGTCATGGATCACGGCCCACGGCGTTGAGCACCGGGACCGAGCACGATGACGATCGCCGATCGAGGGGCACAAGCGCATCGCGCACGGACCACCGCCACGACGATCGGCGACGGCATGACGGGCGCGCACATCATGACCGAAGGCGCGAGGAAGACGATGACTGGCAGTCGTACACATCGTACGCGTAACGAGCCACACGCAACGAGCTACGCGACCACCGACGCCGCGAAGAGCGACGATACGATGGGCGCAATGATCGACGACACGAACGCGAGGAACGGGCATCCACGAAACCGAAAATCATTATGCCCACGTTCACGGGAACAGATCCGGATGCATGGTTAAGTCGAGCTGTGCAATTCTTTGAGATGAATGACGTGCCAAGGTATGAGAGAGTTCAAATTGCTGCTTATCATCTTGATGGGGAAGCAAACGTATGGTGGCAATGGGTGGTGCACAAGAACCGTGGTGAGCACATGCGATGGAGGGATTTGAAAAAGAGCTCATCACAAGGTTTGGCTCGAGTGACTACCACGATTACAATGAGGCTTTGTCTAGAATTAAGCAGGTTGGTAGTCTGAGGGAGTATCAAAAGGAGTTCGAGCGCATTGCTAGTAGGGTGCGGGATTGGCCCGAGAGTGCGCTAGTGGGAACGTTTGTTGGAGGACTAAAAACTGAGTTAGCAGCTGAGGTGAGGTTGGATAGGCCAGGATCAATGCGAGCAGTTGGCGAGATTACACGAGGATCATCTCATGGCAGTACGCAAGGCGAGATCGAGCGACGTGCGCACGGAGACTAAGCGCACGCACGCCGCGACCGAGGAGCAAGTTACGCGAACCGAGAGCAAGCCAATGGGCGAAGCTATTCGAACATGAGCAATATTCGGCGGCTTAATGATGAAGAGATGCAGCGACGACGAGAAAAAGGCCTTTGCTATTCGTGCAATGAAAAATTCACACCAGGCCACAAGTGCAAAGGTAAGGAGGTATTTCTATTGGAGTTTGAGGAGAAAGAAGAACCACACAAAGAAGATTTCTACACATGGTTAAGTGTAAGAAACGAGGTCCGAGGATGATCAGGTTCACGGCTGAAATAAAGGACATGCTTTTAGAAGTGTTGGTAGATAGTGGGTCGAGTCAAAATTTTATCGACGAGGGAATAGCCAGGATGCTAAAGCTGAAGCCCACTAAGGTCAAAAAGTTTGGGGTTAAAGTGGCCAATGGACACGAACTTCAAGGTAATCAGTTATTCAAGAAGGTTCCAATTATGGCTCAAATCAAGAGTTGGAAATCGATCTCTATGCTTTACCGCTTAAGGCAACTGACGTAGTATTGGGCGTGCAATGGTTGGAAATGCTTGGGCCCATTACAACTGATTATAAGCGAGAAAAGATGGAGTTTGGACGGCCGGGAAAGAAATTTAAGTTAAGGACTGAGGATCAAGGCGATTTACCTATTGAGGAGGACAGTGATGTGGAGGTGCTGAATTTTCTTATCCTTGGGGACAAGGAAAGTCTCGAAGAGGAGGGGAATGATACGAAAGTGGAGTTAGGGACCGATAAGTCTAGCAAGGGGCAAAAATGCGAAAGGTGCGCATCAGTCCTTGATGCACACGAATGGGAAAACAAGCCGCGCACGCGGGATTTGCGAGGAATTTGTAGGCGCGAGGTTGGCAGGTCCACGGGTGTACGCGGGTGCATGGTGGAGGATCGGAGCACGAGCGACGGTTGGGACGCGTGGCGGAGCAGCGAGTGGGGCGGAAGCACGGACGTCCTAGTCCGCGGGGGCATAGGACAGGCGTGCATGCACGCGCAAGGGAAGGGCAGCGCGGACTGGACGAGCACAATAGCGGACGCGTGCGACACGGATAAGCCGAGAGGCGGCGCAAATGACGTGCGATACATGGAAGGCGGCCAAGAGTTTTATTTGGGGCGCAAGACTTAAGATTCTAGAATTGCTTGGTGTGCAAGTCAAGCATTAGTATTTTGGTAGTAGTAGGATTTTATTTCCACGTTGCTTTTATTAGTAGTAGAAGATGCTAGGAGATTTACTAGCATTAGCATTTATTTTATTGCATAGATTAGGAAATCTAGATCTATTAGGCTTAGATTTATTTTGCAACTATAAATACCCCATGTACTCATCATAACTGAAGGTCTTGAATGTCTTGAATTGAGTATTGAATTGGTGAGCCAATTGAGAGGGGAACTTATGTTCTTGTGTTTAAACAAGGTCGTTAGTGCGTGTTTACATACAGTGTCGGAGAGAAGGCCATTAGAGCGTCTTGAAGTCATGGTGTCTAGGAGAAGGCCGGAGTGCGTCTGTTAGATACATCTATCGTGGATAAACAAAGGCCCTGAGTGCACGTTTATTCACAACCCACGGTATAGATAAAAACACGGTCCGTCATCAGCGCGCACTGGCGTGCGCGGTGACCTGTTGACATGCACTAGGCACTGCCAACGAACGGCTGCTGCGGGCAGCTATGCGCAACGCCTAACTGGGCCTGCACGCACGCTGTCCGCCTGCTCTGGGCTGACTGCCGGCATAGTGCTGCCGCTGTGTGCGGGCAGCATGACCACGACCGGTCCTTGCCGACCGTCCGGCAACTTCCTCTGGCAACATCAGCATAAATCAACATGATATAACAGAATGTGACCAGATATACTCAGCTTGCTCAAAAATTAAGAACTTTACTCAATGAACTAGGATGGGCCGTGGCGTGCGCTACGTGCGTAGCCTACGACTTTAGGCCAATTCCTCGACCAAACCAAAACTTGTCTCGAAAATACTACTTAGCTGAACATGAATGAACATATAATGATCAAACAAACATAACTTGCTTGGGAGTTGCCGAATAAAACGAACATCACTCGGTCATGACTTAACGAGGCACAAACCGAGCATAACTCGACGTTTCATGAATCAAAGGATATGAACTGAACATGGTGAACCTAAAATGATCATATTAACGTGGAAAGATGGTGAAGACGTTGTTACCTCCTCAAACGCTTGACCAATTGCGCCTGATTTCTCGTTCGTTCGTCCTTGCGTGTTTGTGTTTGTGTGCGGTATTCTCTTCTTGGCTTTCTTCTCTCTTTCTTGCGTTGCTTAGGCTTAATTATAAGATAATTTCTCTTAACTTTGCTGGGTGCTTGATTTTTAAGCGTGAGGTAAAATTTACTCCCACCCTTAATATCAATGGACGGATGAATTAATGAAGAAAGGTGAAAATAACCTTGGCCAATCATCTTGCACCACTTGCCAAGTAACTAGAGCCTTAAGAGTAACTTTTCCTTCTTAGTCACCACTTAAAGGAGCTTCTGTTGGGTTCTGATAGGAACGTCAAACAACATGCACAACATTGAACTTTATCGAAATAAATCCTAACGCAGCGGAATCTGTAGTTAGGATATGGACGTTTACCTTAGTTGCTGATCCATGAGAAACTTGAGGCTGTGCGAAAGCTGGGCCACCGAGAGGGGAATTTTTGCCGACTCTGAGACGATGTAGAGTACCGTTGGTGAAGTTCGTCTGAACACCACAACCTAATGGGCAGATAGGTTTGGCCTTTAATCAATTCTAATCGATAGGTTCCATGAAACTCGATCACACGGC